CGTCATTATTGGCAATCTTTGGTGCTGAAGTTGGTCCTACGATAATCTAGAGCAAAAATCCGACGGTGAAGGCAATTTATTGCTCTTGTAATAGTCGTGTATTAGACGCGTAATGGTGACGTAATAGAAGTAATAGAGAGGTAATAGAAAGGTAATAGAGAGGTAATATAGGTAATATGGAGTAGTCGGGCCACGATTTTGGAGAGTGGATACCCTTTCGGCTCGAACACATTACAATGAAACACTATTTTTTTGGCTATTAATTTTTCAGATTGGAATCGGTGGCTACCGATGGGGCACCCTCTATGTGCGGTGACAGCAAAGATGGGCTTATTGCGCGGATACGGCAGAAGCTTAGGAGTTTAAATATTCCATCTGATATTACAGATGCTCACTGCCTAACTCACCAAGAAAATCTTGCCGCGAGGGTCGTAGACTTTCCCCATGTGATGGATGTTGTCGTGAAGACCGTTAATTTCATTCAGGCGAACGCTCTCTAACACAGAAAATTTCAGACGCTACTCAAAGATATCGAGTGATTTCCTAACAATTCCCTAATACACCAAAGTGCGATGGCTTAGCAGGGGAAAAGTCCTCGAGAGCGAGAGGCTTTATAACTGTATGCGTGGACATTTATAATGACTGATCGCGTTAAACCACACACCGTTCTTCCCCCATTACAGATTCTTTCTTCTACGAGCAGAAATTCAGGAGTTCATGAAGAACGCCAAAAGCCCTCAGCCTCAGCTCAATAATTTAAATACCAAAATGCAGGGCAAAGACAACTTAATTGTGGACTTGAAGCGTCACATTGATATCAATATGTTTTTAAAGACTCTTTGCTACTCTGGCAAAGTCAGGTATCCAAAGAAGACCTTTTCTACTTTCAGAATGTTAAGTCTGTGACTTAGTCACCCAGTGCACGCCTCAAAAAACTCATGACGAGGTCATTGGGAAAACTCTATTTAGAGTTTTCTTCTAGCTTTTCGGAACTAGATACCTGAACTCCTGGAGCTGCAAAAGGACGTGCTCCTGAAGGATACATTCAACTCTATGCCAATGAAAGTCTTTGTTAGATTCACTGGCTGAGCGATTAGCGAAGCCTGTTACTCCGTCTGGTCGGAAAAAACTTTTACTGTCTGTCTGTCTCTCTCCGCACGATAACTCGGGAACGAATTTACCGAGCGACCTGGGATTTTCAGGGTCGTTTCGTGTTATAAAAAGACAGATCGAGTTCGAAGCTCAGAGTTCTACCTCAAAAATTGGATTCTTAAAAAATCAACTTAACAACGGGTCCCAAAATTGACGTATTCTGAGAAAATTTTCTATGGTCTACTAAGGGGGAAAAACATCCCAGTAGAGCCCATTGGGCGGAAACTTGGTCCGTTTTGCTCTAGCCTTAACCGTTGAGGCTGTAGAAGGTAGTCTGGACGAAGAAAAAAATTAAAAACCTGTACAACCCTGCATCCTTAGTCGAGGTGACGGGCTACATTTTCCCACGAACCGACTCGGGTGTCAGCGCCGCAGGCCAAGGTAGATGTCTGACAGGCGCGTCGCAGCGTAACTGTGTTTCGTCACATATCGCGGAGCCTGTTACGCGAGACGTGGTCTTGCGTACATCTACCTTGTTGGCTGAGCGATTAGCGAAACCTATTACTCCAGTGATCAAAAAGTTTCGCGTCTGTCTGTCTGTCATCACAATAACTCGAGAACGAATAGAGCAAGCGGCCTGGGATTTTCAGGGTCGTTTTGTATCATAAAAAGACAGATCGAGTTCGAAGAAGAGCATTATAGCTCAAAAATTGGTTTTAAAAAAAATTAGAAACCACAGGTCCCACAAATAATGTTTTTTAAAAGTATTTTTTTTAATAGTTTCCTAAAGGGTAGCTCATCAAAGTAGAGCCCTTTGGGCGAAAATTTCGTCCGTTTGGATCTATCTTGAACCGTTTAGGCGCCACAGGGGGGTTTTGACGCAAACAAGCGAAAAAATGTACAACCCTGCATGCTTGGTCGAAGTGACGGGAAGTTGACGGGCCGGCGACCCGTATCGTGGTGTCAATTTTTGCGCTACCCGACTCGGGTGTCAGCGCCGCATGCCTAGGTAGATGTATGCCAGGCGCGTCGCAGCGTATAGTTGGTTCACGAAATTCTGACACACCGGCAGGCCTTTGGACCCGTGGTCTTATTGTAAGCGTCATTACGATGCGTGAAGGCCTGCTGCCGAAGGGTCCCCGGCCCTCGCTGGGCCCAGTGATACGGCTGCCAAACATCTTTGCGTCTCTTTTATGAGGGCCCACTACCTGCGGGGGAGTGCGCAGTATGGCTTGGCAGCTCTAGCCTAGCTATCCGACCCTTATAATGAGTGTGACCATACTGCTTACGACGTCAACAAAGAATCAGGGAGTGATTGTCTCCAAGTCCTTTGCGTGCCGGTGTGTCAGAATTTCGTGAACCAACTATAACAGTGTTTCGTGAGATATCGCGAAGCCTGTTAGAGTCCATTCCCTATATTCTGGCAGAGCGGCGAGCAAAGGCTTTCGAGACAATGCCATTCAGTCATTGTGTAACCCATCAGCAGGGTGTGTTCCGGTGCATTATAAGGGTTGACCTGCCGATGTAGAGTGTCCACCTGTCCTCCAGACCTGCGTGGGGCTCCTCTCTCCAAGACAATGCGCACGCCCAGGCTCGGCTCGGAGAGATGGCCACTCTAACTTTCGGGTATCGTCCCTTCGACCACGGTGTTTATGAGCCTAACAAAGACGACCGGAAAGCAAAGCCTCGCCGCTCTGCCAGAATATAGGGAATGGACTCTACGCGAGACGTGGTCTGGCGTACATCTACCTAGTTACTAAGGAGCGCTTCCCTAATCTCTGAGTCAATTTTGATAATGTGTTAGTTAAATTCGGCTCGACGTATAGCTGTGAACAAATTTTCTTACTTATGAAATTAGGTAAGACAGTATATTGATCCACTATGTCCTATGAGCACCTGAGCCAGCAACTGCGTGTCATGGATAGAGATGGCCAGTTGAATGAAAAATATCGATATTTACGATATCGATATTCGCAGATTTCGATACTTAAAGTATCGATATATTGCACAAAATATATCGATAATAGGAAATATCGAATAAAATATCGGTCATTCCCGTGGCGGCACTAGAAATCCGATTTAAAGGTGGGAAATTTAATTTAAAATGCAATTTTTCAAACAAGATGTATTTTAATAAAAGTATAGCAAAAGTCAGTAGTATAAGACATAGAAAATCAAACCCATTACAGGAATTAGATGAAACTTTGGAATTGTAAACATATTTATACAATGACAATTAAAGTCAGTCTCATGAATTAAGATAAATTAACTAAGGATGACGTAGAAAAACAAATCAGTCTCAGGAATTAACATAAATTAACTAGTAAGACTTAGAAAAACAAATCAGTCTCAGGAATCAAAGGAACTTTGGAATTGTACAATTACAATTAACTTTAAATGCTCAAATCACATTAGAAATTATTTAGGAACGCGAGCTGCTTCCCACATGTCCTTTTCAATGCTTGCTAAAAACACACGTTGTGATAAGTGCTCGGCGGTGAGACGGCTAGTCTCCTCAGTTGAAATAAAACTGAGTTTCGAGAAGAGGCGCTCGCTTGGCAAGGACGTTGCTAAAATGGACAGGTATTTTTGGGCAACTATGTACAGGTTCGGGTAAAGTGGTTTAATGGCCTCCCATCTCTTCAGTGGATCTGCCGTGATGGGCAACAGCTCCCTCGAGATGTACGCCCGGATTTCGGCCTTTGCCCGAGCAGCGACGTCGTCTGTGGCTGTTGCTGCATTGGCAGATCGAGCCAGCTCGGCGTGAGAGGCCCACAGACTCTGATTCTGCCCAGCTGCAGGTGCTGGAGCCGGTTCTAGTGGTGGATCTGCATCGTGAACTGCCCGGGCGCACGCCGCTGCTCCCTCCCGCATTAGCTGCCGCACTTCCATCTCGAGCAGAGTCATAGTGTTTGCCGTAGTCATTGGGCCCTGTTATTAAAATGAGTGTGAGTAATAATGCCAAATAAGCGATTCCAATTTCGAAGACAATCACAATTATTAAAGTGAAGTTTACCTGAAAGTATGCTTTTATAAAGCGAGGATCCAGCATGGTTGCCATGGCAAGGGGCTTGTTTTTCTCAATGTGTTCAAACCGCCGTTTAATCTCGCTCAAACAGAAGTCTTTGAACGCTTTCCCGATTTTATCTTGTTCTGGGCATCTGATGTTCTGAACAGCCTGAGTAAAAAAGGAAAAGTAAGTGTCATTGTGCTCTGAGCGGTCGCGAGGGTGGCGCTGGCGCTAGGCGCTAGGCGGGCGGCGGGACGGGTATTCCCCTTGCCGCAGCCGAATAAGTAATATACTTCGAACTTGATCTGTCTTTTTATGACACTAAACGACCCTGAAAATCCCAGGTCGCTAGCTCAATTCGTTCTCGAGTTATCGTGATGACAGACGGACAGAGAGACAGACGCAAAACTTTTTGATCATCACTGGAGTAATAGGCTTCGCTAATCGCTCAGCCAAAAAGTTTCAAATTACTTTTTATTTGTACTAATTTGGTAACTCTTTCCACTGCAAGTTTGTTTCTCTTTTTGGTATGAGTATTAGAATATCCTGACCACACCCTCTCACAAGCAGCGGCTGAGGCAGGTAGGGATAAAAGTCTGCAGGCCAGTGGGCACAGAGAGGTTCATCTGCGCATATACCTTTCCACCAAGATGAGGGCGTACAGTGGTTTGCAGCAGACCAAATACTGTGGAAAGAACCTGTGTTTGTTTCTTTTACTGCCCAAATACCTTCACTGTTTCTAAACCTAGCAAGACTGCTTACCACTAGTCCACAGTCATAATTTAGATGCGTGCCCATTTCACTTATGAATGTTATTGCTGGTTGTATCTGGTTGGGAGTTAATACCTTGCCACGGTAAATAGGATGCAACAAATTAGCAGCAAGGTGTACAGGTTTTACTATAAATACATATCTTTGCTTTACTAATTCTTCCACTCTAACCATGTCATGCATATTAAAATCTTCTGCTGCATTTAAAATTAGAGACTTCATTTTAGCCAAAGCAGTTACGACATCAGCAACATTAGCTGAATCTCCTTCCAAGTAAGTAATAGTATCAGTTATTGGAGACAACAAATCACAACCACATTTCACAGCATCCCAGAAGTCATCGTTTTGAACGGGGTGGAGCGCGCGGTCACAACCACGTCCGATGTGAAGTACCTACCCTAAGGGATCGTACGCAAACCACGTGACTGGTTTTTGGCGGGTTTTGACCACCCCCTCCTCCCCTGTGGTGGTCTGTGGTGGTCTCGCCCCCCCCCC